AGACTGAGCTTGCATCTGGAGGCACTCAAACCACTTGCAGTAATAATAGCTCAAAGCATCTTTAATTTATGCCTGGCTTCTGTGTTGGATTCCCCTGAGTTTCCACCTTCTGAAATGACAACAGTCTGTTCAGAGTGGCTGTGAGGATTCGTGGGAGAGGTGGGGAGGTGATGCAGGATGATGTGCTTGGATTGCCCTATGCATAAATACGTCTCCGACTGGTTTGGGCATGTGCAAGTAGCTCCAACTGTGCTGACTGTGGAGATGGAAATGGCATATCCAGGTGGGTGTGGTGATATATTGGAATTAATAACTCCTGCTCAGGGCAGGATTAACTACCAGCATTGCACCAGGGTGGTTATGTTGCTGGTGCTTGTGGCATCTCAGCACCATGCCGCACTGTGAGCATGCTGGCTCTGCTGCCTCTGGTGGCGTGGCACTGCTGAGACAGCAAACCTAGACGTTAAACCTGTGCCCATCACTGGTGATATCAGACACCCCAGCAGGGCTACTTCCTTCCAGCTTAGGGAAGGACCCCTCTTCCTCTCTGTCTTCACTGTACCCCTGACATGCACTTTCTTATAAGGCCACGTCTGCAGTTTCTGGCTATTACTGGAAGCAAGGATGAGACCCAGTTCAAGATTAGGACACGTAAGATGTGGGCTGGGTTTCTAAACTCTCATTGTAGTCAGTAGAGATGGAGTCAACGGAGATTGGAGAGTGATGCAAATGTACCATAAAGCAGATGAAGGCAGGGGTCTGAGTATGGAGCAGGGTGTGATCCAGTAGCCTCAGCATGGTCATCTGGTGCTATTCAACACAGCCCATGGTCTCCCGCTTAGCCTCCATCTGCCACTCCAGAAGGAAGGCCTCTGCAGTGTGTTACACTTGCCAAATCCACGTGGCTGTCCCGGACACCCCAACGTGGCACTAAAAGCGTAAGTTTAGGCAACTGAATGGCACATCCCAGTGAAATGACTGCTTGCATCATCCCAGGCTGGGTTGAGGTGCCCAGATGTAGAGCCCAGTGCCACTGGAGAAGCAGTTGAGTGCACAGGACCCCTGTCCCCAGCTGGCAGGTACGCCATGGGGCTATGGGGGCTGGACCATCCTGCAGCCACAGTCAGAGTCCAGGTGGGACACCATATGTGACTGAAACAGCACTAAGCACCTATGTTAGGGTAACCAAAGTGAGCCCTGGAGTGCCGCTGACTGTAACAGGAGCTGAAGGATGTAGCTCACATGCAGAAATATTCAAGGAGGTGGTTTGATCTCAGACCCAATCCCATCCAAGCAGTAACAGTCTGGCAAACACATTACCATGCTCCTTCTACATCAATGGATTATTGCCATTCATTTTGACTGTACATAATACAAATCAAGTCCTTTATTACATAAAGCACAGAAACCCTGAAAAGGTTTCCTTGTCCTGCAAACAGGAATTCACAGGGACTTGTTCTTACTAAACTGATTTAAGGCTTCAGGGTTGGGAATTCCCCATACAGCAAATGGGAAATTTAGATTTGAGGAGTGTGCATGCCTTGCTTGACAAGCCCAGCACAAGCTGATTTGGAAAACAGAGCAGGAAACGACTGAGCTGAACCTTGCTTAGGAAGGGGGAAGGATTATGGATGAGATCGAAACCTTCCACCTATTGAAGATGTGTTCATAAACTGGGTGTGGAGGACACATTACTTAGCACTGTCTCACCCGTATTCCTCAGTAAGACACATAAAAGCAACAAGTGAAATAACAACAGGTCTGCCAGCAAAAAAGACCTTTGGTGCATGAGCCATGGTTGAATGGGACTGAAAACTTGGAGGAAAGCAGAGCCAAGTTTATCTCCAGGCAAACAGGATGCAACAGTTCACAGCCCTCCTGTGGGCCGTCAGATGGACACACATTTTCATGGTGGATATTTGACAATAAGCTGAACCTAGGCAGCGGTCGAGCCTGGAAGTGAGGCAGCGTACCGCTGTCTTCCACCTGCATCTTCCTTCTTCTCACTCTCTGAAGCTGGTACTCAGCAAAGTACTACAAAAGCAACAGAAAAGACTCTACCTGACTGTCGTGCCATGGCTGGCAAGGACCGAAAACGTCAAAAACCCCAGCCCCTAGGCCTTCCATGCTCAGGTTTGCTTGTGGAAGATGGTAAGTTTGGGTCAGCACACACCATCCCCATCTAAAAGAGCACTAGGGAGTGATGTGTGAAGCAGCCTCCAAGGTATTTTGGCATGTCTGCTGTCTTCCTCACTGCTGTAGCATGTCCCGCTGGGCTTTGCCACAAAGTCAGAATCAGCACTGTTGATTTTTGCTTTGTTATGCAAAAGCTTTTTGCATCCTGCTATTGATGGTTACTCCAAGATAAATCCATCCCCCTGCAAAGTTTTGTACTCAACAAGTTTTGAAATACTCATGTAGATTGGAAAGCCAGTCATAAAGCTGATGTTTTTTAGGCAGGACTTTGTTTTAAATAAATAAACATACATGCAAATAAATAAAGCCCTCCTATACTATCTTAATATAAAAAAGCTATTTTGGGTAGCATATCACTTATGCTCAAGACTAAATGAAAATGTAAAGAATTAACATTGCACAGCAATGAGGTTTGTCCTGGCAAAAAGAGTTCTACTACACCATCAAAAAGTTATTCATGTTGACAAGCCATGAAATGTTTGCATAAGGAGAAAGGGAACAAAGTAGGAATGCTTTAATGCTGTGCCTCATTGGAGCTGCTTTTTCCTTCAGTCTTGTATAACTGTGACAGTTGTGTAAAAGAGAAAAATTAAAAAAAAGGGAAAGCACTGGTAATGCTGGTATGAAAAGACATTTGTTTCTGCAGCAGTCAACAGCTACACAGCAGCTCTGTGCTCTCTTGCACAAAAGGAACAGGCTTGTTGTGCTCTGCGTGGTCACCCTGGGCCAGCCCATGGCAAAAGCCTGACCTCTTCTTGAAGACCTACATGAATAGCTCCTGCTTCAAAGTCTGCCAGGCTGTGCAGATGTAACCTACGCAATTGTCATTTCAATGACGTGCATGGACTCACAGACCAGAGCTCTGAGCACAGACCACCCCATCAAGACAGGCCCCTAAGCTAGAGGGAGTCTTCCTACAGGTTGACAGACAACAAGTTCTGCATTTCCTTCTCAATCCAAATATTAGCAATGATTTCATATGCTCATGCACACAGAGCTGTGTTCAGATGATGGTGCCTAGAAATGTTATGGATGCCCTTCTCTGGACAGCACTAATGACCCCTGGCACCAGGGCATCCCTGTGACCACAGTGGCCAGGACACCTCTCCAATCCTTCCAAGTGTTGTCGCTGGGACAGGAGTTGGCTTACCTACTTCCACGGCTCAAGCACTGAAGGTACACCCACATCTAGAGTACTGGCTGCCCCTTTCATGGAGACAAGTCTGGCTATAAGGAAAAACCTTTTCCCCATGAGGACAGTCAAGCAGTGGAACAGGTTGCCCACAGGCCTTTTGCAGTCTGTCTTCGGAGGATTTCAAGACCCAACTGGATAAAGCCCTAGGCAACCTAGTCTGACCTCAGGGACAGGACTTCCTGAGGTTCCTTGTAATCTAAATTATCCTATTAAGCCTTTGTGAAGAAGGGTGGCAGATACTGAATGAGGACAGGCACTAAATCTCCATAAACATATGAGTTCTGAGATCTATCCACCACTTTGGAGAATGCACAAAAATCCTGGTCCTGTAGCTTTCTCAAGCAACCAATCCCCACTCCCTTGAGCAGTAATTAGCCCCATTAGAGGAGCAAATCTCAGCCAAGAATGCAGAGGCTTAATGGCTTGATAGAAGAGTGACAGAACTGACAGGGCACAAATTAGCTCACCCTCTCCTATGGGACCTGATGGTTGGATGTGTTAAGGAAAACGATCCCTCATTTTCAGTAAAAATCTCAATACTTTGTACTAAGTTTTGGTGAGAATATTCACTGCAGTACATGTAAGGGACGGGGCCCACGTGGCTGTGCTGTAAGCACAGACAATGCCCCAGGGAAAGCTCCAGAAGCCAGGCGCAGGGAGGGGCCCAGTGTCACTCTCCTTGACTGACTAATGTCTCAACCACTCCTGGAGCTGGGGTAAAAGAAGACTCTAGAAACCTTGGGCTGGAGCCAATAAATAGGGGCGCACGTGAGCCTCCTGGGGGACACTCTCCACACCGACACCCCCCGTTGGCAGGTCCAACGCTGGATCCAGGATTGGTGATTTCTTTATCTCTCTCTACCTCTCTCCTGCTTCCCAGCTCTCTCTTTCTCTTTCTCTCTCCTCCTTCTCCTTCTTGCTCTCTGCTTTTGATGTTGTTAGGCAATACAAGGCCTACCTCAACTCCTCACAAAGCCGCTTAGCTTGTATTATATATTAAGACATAGAGGGTTGATGCTTATAGAAGTGTTCGTGCCATTAAAGTTGGAGTTTGTTTTTGGACCTTGAGTGTTATTTCACCTTAATCCACACCGAGGGGATTTGCGGATCTTAGTCACTCTCCCCTTCTCCTAGGTGGGACGTGACAGTACATGAAAAGCTCTTTCCCCCTTATCTCCCTCTGCGCCCTCCCCTGGGAACAAAAAGCCATTGCAGTGACACCTTGACAGAGGTCGCCCTTCAGGATACACCTGTGGGCATGATGCTGTGCTCTGTGGACATGGCCAAATTTGTTTCTTGTCAAAGCTAACCTGAGCATGGGAGGGAATAGCTTCACTAACATCACAACCTGGACAAGTCCATACTATTGCATACAGTGTAGTTCAGGCAGGAGCAAGGATTTTTGCTTTTGAAGGGTCCTGGTTCATTTCCTACCACTTCTGCCCAAATTTCAGCCTTTATGTAACTGGCAGGTGTCCAGGGTTCATGTGATCCTGGGTCACAAGTGTCAGAGATGAACTTTCTTGGACCAGATGAAGTGGGTAACTACACGATGCATGTTGCATGAAATCCCAACTCTGTGATTGAAAACCCAACAGATGATACTCACAGGATGTATGCGATGACCCCAATGGACCAGCAGTCCACGGCTTTGCTGTAGGGTTTCTGGGCCAGCACTTCAGGAGCTGAAAATGAAAAGCCAAATGAGCACACATTACAAGACCAAACATTTGAATGTGGCCAAGAGGTAGGACCCTGAAACTTGAAGCTCCCTGAGACCTTGTGTTGCCCTCCACATATAGCCCTTGCATTTGCCAATATCCTGATGGTTTTGAAGCTCACATTCTCACAAAGAAGGATGACTACTAAAGTGGAGCAAAATCCCTATTTTCTGGTTCCAAGGACAGAAAACAAAACCAAGCGCAGAAAAATGTGTGAGAGGCAGAGGGCCATCACCTCTCTGTCAAAGGAACTTTAGGAGACTTGGAGGAAAATGAGGCCAAGCTTTGCACCAGTGCTGAGATGCACATTCACCCTGACAGCCTTGCAGCTCCACCCCATCATGCTGCCAAACTGGGGATTTCAAGAGGCAACTCAGAAAGTGCAGCGTGTCAGGGAGGTGATAAGTCACATCTGTAGGAGAGGAAGGAGAGCTGTCACTATACCTCCCAACAGCTGCCTTCCAAAGCCTGCTGGATGTCAGAGTCAGAGGGAGTCATTTGTCCTTCTACCTTTGGGAACACAGACACCTCAGAGGGAGAAATGAAAAATAGCAGGAATTGGACACATGCAGAAAGGAACTGAGCCTTCTGCCTCTATAGCTTTCAGCCACTATAGCCTGAATTTTGCTAGAAGTGAGCGCCTGGGCATTTATTGAAACTCTTTGTGGGTCTGCTTTCCTTTCTTACACCAGTGAGAGTTAAAAAGGTGCATTTTTTGTTTGGGATCCTGGTGTATTATGTTTTCCCTGTTGGGACCTTTCAGTACAAATGCTTAAACCTAAATTTTAAAACTCTGTGACTAATCTTTTTCATGTAAAGAAGCTTTTGCTTTTTTCAAAGCAAAATGTCCACAATAATGCAAGAAATCATTGTTTGTGGCACTCCTAAAGCAGACTTGCCACACTGGGTTTTAAAAACCACAGTATTTCCTTTGAGTACTTTGGAGTTCAAACGCTGCAAAAGAATCATGAAGGGGCAAGTTCCAGCAAAAATATTTCTTTGGGGTTACACCTTCCTGTGCTAGGAGTCCTACCAACATCAGTTAGTTACTTGAAGAATAGCAAAAAATTTGTGAAGCACATAGTATTAAAACGAGCCTCACATTTAGTTGCTACATATGCTTTGGTGTACTGGTAAGGACTCTTCAAAAAGTTAGCTTGTTAAGCTAGACAAGTCAACAAAACTAAGGTCAAAACTGCCAGTAAGGAAGGGAACAGAAAGCAATAATGAGAAACAGAAAAGACTTTCTGGTGCTTGGGCATGAGAGCTTATTAGCAGGGATTGAAGGGAAGACAGTGCACGAGGCAGATGAGGGCATCCAGGTTGCATTTCCAGAAGCAGCAGAATGATGGAAAGGGTCAAGTCACACTGGGGAGACATTGTAAAAAGGAAGAAAATCCAGGGGAACGTGGGAAAAGTATAGCTGGCAGCCAGGTTATGAATACTCTTGAAGATTGGGATATGCCCCAATCTGTAGCACAGGGTAAATATTACCCCAATCTTCAAGTCATCCAGCAAACTGGGACCACTGCATGTATAAGAAATTAAAATGATAGTTCTGTTCATCTATTGTTATTCCTAATATACTGTTGTAACGTGTGAATACTCCAACACCTATCCACTATGTGCCAAAGGAGGTTTCTTTCCACCATACCTAGCATGAACAGCTCCCAACTTGGCCCCAGCTGCTTGGCAGAAACCTGCACCCCAATTCCCGAGAAGCCCCTGACTCCTTCCAGGACATGGGCACACTGCTGTAGTCTATCAAGATAAAGGTTAAAATCTTCTTACTACAATAGGGGACAGAGGCGTGGAAATATAAAAGGCATCTTCAGTTGGTGCCCAAAAGGTAACTCCTTTCCCAACGGCTAGGTCAGCGTGTGTGTGTCAGGTTGGTGCTAGACAGTCTGGCGGGGGTGAATTTGAAGAAGAACACGAGATAAAAGAATAAAGCACTGGATAGCCATCCTATTTGGCCTGCCAATGCCTCCCAGATCACCTGGTGAGTTTGCAGAGTCTGGCAAATTTACATTTTTCTTGTATAAAACAGCTGCACCTCAAAGTTGCTCAAGACAACCTTCCCAGACAACCCTTGTGTCCCCTAACCTGACTCTTTCCTTCCTGATTCATCAAAACTTGCCTCCAAGTTTTCCTCTAAAAAGAATCTTTTTTCAAAATATGCATCAAATAGGGTTTGTGAGGCTCCGTTTCCTTTTTTGTCCCATCTCTTGTGACTAAATTTTGTGACAAATTATGCTGAAGAAGGGAGTTCATTTTCCCTTGTCCTTAGGTGATTAGATGTCTTCCAACTCTCCAGTCCTTCCAAATTCCCAATATTTTGTTCGCATATCCCTTCTACCTTTTACTGTCTGCTCCTGTTTGCATCATTTTCAAGACTGGTAAACATTATACATCTTATATCCCCCAAAGAAAATATTATGCAAATGGCTCCTGAGCACCACAGATCCTAGTGAGCTCCTGACATTATACAGATATGCCACATTAACATAACAGAAAACAAATCTGAGGCAAGGGGATGTGAACTATATAAAGATTCTCCCTGTTAAAACATCAAAGCTGTGCTGGGGCACTTCTCTCTGTTTTAAAGCAGTGAGGAGCACTGATAACAGACAGTTGCTGCTGCAGATGGTGGCTGTGAAGCAGGTAAGAAGACCGCAGAATCAAGCCCAAAGCAAATGTAAGGCTATTACCTCCCCTTTGGTAAACTTTAATGAAGAAAGGCAGGAGGTTTAAATAATTATTTTAAAGCCAAATGGCTGCTTTTGGGTTTTGTTCCAAAGAGCAGACATGCAACAGGAGCAGGAGAATATAGCTAAGCATCATCTGTCTCTGACATATGGAAAAGATGGAAATATTTAATGAGCTGAAAAACAAGTCAGAGGAGCTCTCAGAAATGACAGCAGATCAGTGCCAAGAGGCAAAAGCAGGAGACGCAATGAAAAAAAGTCCAAGAGCTGACGGCATTAAAGGATCAACACAGACGACTGAGGAGACAAAACAGCAATAAGGAGAATGGGAAAATCAAAGCTCCCATTTCTGGCACTGGGGAAATGCCAGCTGAGCTTCCAGTATCACACCTCCCCAGGGAATCATTGTGGGCTCAAATGCTATGCAGCAGTCATCCAGAGATGGGGAAGTCAACAAAGCAAACCTGGACCTTTCCCCAGTATATTGCCCTGTGGGTGCTTCACATCCAGGAACGGTGTTTCAGGCCAAATCAGCAGTGCTACCAGCAACATGTCATAGAATCATAGAATAGTTTGGGTTGGAAGGGACCTTTAAAGGTCATCTAGTCCAATCCCCCTGCCATGGGCAGGGACATCTTCAACTTGATCAGGTTGCTCAGAGCCCCATCCAACCTGACCTTGAATGCTTCCAGGGATGGGGCATCCACCACCTCTCTGGGCAACCTGGGCCAGTGTTTCACCACCCTCAGTGTAAAAAATGTCTTCCTTAGATCTAGTCTATATCTACCCCCCTTTAGTTTAAAGCCATTCCCCCTTGTCCTGTCGCAACAGGCCCTGCTCAAAAGTTTGCCCCCGTCTTTTTTAGAAGCCCCCTTTAAGTACTGATAGGCCGCAGTAAGGTCTCCCCGAAGCCTTCTCTTCTCCAGGCTGAACACCCCCAACTCTCTCAGCCTTTCTTCACAGGAGAGGTGTTCCATCCCCCTGATCATTTTTGTGACCCTCCTCTGGACCCACTCCAACAGGTCAAATGTGGCAGATAAAATGTTGGGTAGTGGTCCCAGGGCCTCATCCCACCTGCAGGTACATGAAGATGTGCTTCCCAGGGCACTCCACTTCCAAACCAGATGATCTGCTGTTTTACAGTTAGGGCGTTTTTTTGTTTAGTTATGTTTTATTTTTAATAAGAGAAAAAATTACAAGGCTTGTTTCAAATGGAGGTTTTAAGAAAAGTTACAGAACAGGAACATTTGGAAACCTTTCAGAGCACTATGCTATTACCCCCAGTGAGCACAGCTATGCTAATAAGCTCCCTGAAAATGCAGCTGCTGGATGCCAAAACCAGCAATCCATGTTCTTGCAAAGAGTTCAGGTGATGGGGGTTGCTCTGATACTTTAAGTCTGTTGAACCAACTGTACAAGTCATGAGGGTGCCTGTTCTTCATACCAGCCTCATACTTAAAAGCAATTCTCCTTCACTCCCATGACAGTGCTACTCCCAGGAGATTTTGCTGTCTCACAAAAACTCAGTCTAATGCTATTTTCTGTGGTTTATATGGCTTCCCACAAGCTGTATGCCAGAAGGAACGAGGCATTCAAACAAAGGGTGATGGTTTTGAAGATCCCCATAGGAGTGACAAATCAGCAGGCTGCCATAAATGTGGGAGGAATAAAAAGATCTAAATAGGGTTAAAATAACCGGGGACCTGCTTACATTGGGCAGGGACACAGCTCAACTGGCCCAGCAAATTGGTCTGGTGCAAGCCAGGACTAGTAGTTCAGCTGGTAACTATTTTAGTGCCAGTTTCTTGTAGGCAGGTCCTGCAAGTAAAGAAGGGGAAACATGAATGGGCTGCACAGGTACAAGATGGCCATGAAATCTGAGAGGGAAGGTGAGTAATGGGCAGAGTTTGTAAGGGACACCAAAGAGAGATGGTGCCAGCCCCATTGCTTAGGACTCAAAGGTACCACCTCAAGAAGATGGACAGAGAGGAACAACCCTGCAGCATTGAGAAGATGGTTGGATGCATGAAGGGCCAACCCAGCCCCTCTCCTGAAGCTAAAAATGGTGCAAGAGCAGTGTGAGCTCCCCTGCCCCCACATAAAGCGTCTTCCTCATGGTGCAAACAGGCTAAGAGGCATATGAAGCAGGTTCACCACAAGACCAGAGTCCCTCTTCCACCGACTCCTGGGATGAAAACAACTTCTTTTCCACTTTCACACAGTCCTCCAGTGCTCATCTTGTTCTGGTTGGCCAAGACTTTGCAGTTTGGGGCTGTTTCCGAAGGACAGCAGGGTTGTGGTGCAGCATTGCTGGCTTCTTGTGCTCCTGTTGTCCCTATTTCATATTACTGAGTCAGATTTAGATAGCTGTCATGGAACATAATGCAGCTACATGCAAGAAAACCCCGTTTCAGGATACAGCAATGGAGCTGAGTGATCACACTGTCATGAGCTTGTGCCTGAGCAAACCCTGATGAGAGCAGTTCCCATGCTTTATTTTTACTTTATTACTCATGTTACTGCCTAAACAACTCCTGGGGTTGCTTTTTGCTAATAAGGATATTCCAAAGGCTTACTGAATATATTCAAACCTTTGACTCAAAGGATACCGAATAAGTCAAAATTCAACATGGAAATCTATTGCTTACTTAAATGCTTTGGTCTTGCGCAGGGCTAAGAGAAATGCATGGCTTTGATATGATCTGAAATTGCTACTGGATTTCTGGCAGAGCTGAAAGGTGTGAAATGACCTTTCATAAACGCACTATGGAGAATAAAAACAGTGAGTGAGGTGGGGTGTACAGGGACCAACTACACATCCAGGGTCCAATCCAATCCCTACAACAGGGAAATAGAAGAAAATTTTACTTGAAGTTGGGTTGGGACTCAGAATGAGAATTTTAAATCTCAGTAGGATTAAGATATTAGCCTGCCACAAACACAGTTCATAATTCAGCATTTCTGCAAAAGGAGATCAGATTGCCTGAGACAGGCTTTCTAATATTTTTTCCAAACTTTTCAATGCTCATAAGCGTTTTGCAAGCCTAAGTCCTATCTGCAGAAGTAACCAAAGCTTTTGAGATACCAACTCTCACGGAAAGTCCGTCAGCAAGACCTAAGTCCCAAACAGCCAAAATCTCTTTAGAGGAATTTGCTGAGTGACTGGAGTCACCTCCTGGTGAGTGCCCAACTTGACACACCTCAAGGATGACTCATTTTCAGGCAGTTTTGAATACCTCCTTCATCAAAATCGAGTTCTTATAAACAGTCTCAAGCTGAGCAGCCCATGACAGATTGCTAATGGCTTATACAGATCTTGCCCATAATCACACAGATCACTCAGGGTTTTGAAAACACCACTTCTCCAGTCTAGAAGACGGGGTGGGATCCTTGCAGGCCAGTCCACACACCTAATTTGCAATGAAATGAGCCACACAAGCTGCCTCATCTTACCTAGTTTAGGTGCTATCTAAAAGTCTAGTCCCAGCTCATCACCTAGACTGAGTCCATTTGAAATGGAGAGAGATAAGAATCCTAAGCAGGTAAGAAAACAGAAGTCCTTTTCATTAGAAGAGGTTGCATTATCAGACCCCCTCTTCAGTAAGTAAACATTTAGACTTGCATCTTAACAAAAGTGCCTCAACTAAGTCTAATGGGGTTAAATTATCCTGTCACCTTTTCACCATAGGACCAAAATCTCTGACAAAACTCCTGAAAGAATGAGATCTCTGAACTGCTGACAGTAATTTAATCTGTAAGGCAAAGCCTTAAAAGGTGATGTGTTAATGTGCTACTGGTTATGCACATTTTAGATATACTCTAATTTGATAAGTAATACTCTGATTTTCAGAAAGAAAACTGGTATTTATTAAGATTAATTATAATTACACCCTCATTTATTTGATGAATTTCTGAACCACATAAACAGGAATTTAGTGTCTTGGGTACCACTGTTCTTTGGAACTGAAACTAAGAAAAGTTGAGTTAAAAACTGAAACACAGAGAGTTGAAAGTATATCCTAATCAGGGAAATTAGATAGAAATGACAGGGGGCCTTGCATACTTGCAAATGCTTGCAAAGGGCAGCAGACCTGAGTTAAGATCAGGTCTGCTACCAAGTCAGAACCTTGTCTAGCACTTTGCACAGCAGGGTCCAACTGGATCCATTTCTGGAGGTAAAGAAGTATAAATAGTAGCAGATGTTAATGACTTCTTAACAGAGCCCTGGTGCATTTGGCATGTGATAGGTGCCTAACTTTTTTCCAGGAATTAAAAAGCAAAGTGGTTAAATGACAAAAATAATTAATTCCTCAACATATTTTAGAAAATGGGATGTTCTACATATCTTTAAAGAAAAGTGCCAGGAATTGTGTTGTAAGTGATGGATCTCTGAGTGTTACTTCAACGCCAGGTAAAATGGAAAAAAAAACAGAAAGAGTTGGCAGAGAGGACATTTCATGGGCCAGCACTGTGGCCCGTGTCTGCCACAATCCAGATGAGGACACGCGTTCATGTTGTGCCATTAGGAGGAAGGACTCTTACATTTATCTGAGGGCATTAGGCAGGTGCTGCAATTTGGAGTGACGCTGGAAGGCATGAAAGCTTTTGGATGTGGACAAATTGCAGACCATGTATGCAGAAGCCGTGTCATCAGGTATAACACCCACAGAGGCCCATTTGTGGGCATCACCACAGTGACTGACAACAAAAATTTTCTGTGCTTGGAAAATGTTGTCTGGGCAACCAATTATATTAAAAAAAAAAGAAAAGCAGCACTAAAGAGGAGCTGTCTCCTGTGCAAAAAAGAAATAGAACAAATATTTAGAGAGGTTTTTCTTCGTGAGAGAGGGGAAAAACTCCTGTCAGCACTTCAGAAATAAGCTGCTGTGACCTCTTGAACCATGATGAGTAAATCCTGTGTTCAGTAAGGTAACAATGGGCCTGGAGGCACTTCTGTAGCTATCAGCGCCCAGACCATGAGTAAGGAGAGCTCTCAAACATCTCTCAAAGCACTAGAATTCATGTCACATGCTCCAAGAGCTTCCTCTCCAAAATAGCCAGTTTTCTTATGTAAATGCCTATGCTGAGAGGCCATATGAGATCACTCGGTGCCCAAGCAGTCACACTCCCTCATTTTCATCAGCGCTTCAGCAAACATCATCTGAACTTCCCTGTGTCTTGTAGACTTATTCTAGTCAGTGCCCACTTCAGAACAAAATAAAACATGTTAATTAATGACAGAAGAGCTGACAGCAAAAATTATGAAAATTGCTGTCTCAGCTCAATTCCTGCTAGTGCTTTGGAAGAAGATTTCCAGTCCAGGATTATACAAGACAGCTATTCAGGCTGTACAGAGTGCATCCTGACTCACATGTCTTAAAATAAAAAAAAGATGGGCTGATGGCTTCACGATGGGAAACGAAAGAAATCCGTTCTTTTCCTGATGTTATCAGGATAGAGTGTGCCTGTGCAGTGGGAAGATGCCTGGAAAAAAGTATTCCTGGGACAAATCTGGATCGCTGTGTCATAACCACATCATCTGTTTGAGTTCTCGTAGTACCATGGTATCATCAGAGGTATGAAAACACAGGTGAGGTGGCAGCTGCAAAGCAAAAGGAGCCTCTCTCTGACTGCTGGAAAACATCAGGTCTTTCCTACCAGAAAGATGTGAGACAAATCTATCCCTGGAGAAGCCACTGTCACTTTAGTTTCATGGATTTCATGGATACCCCAGAGATTAATTTTACTGTTTCAGCTGACTAGCTAGGTATTGTAGGAGGCACAGGCTTGCTGGATCCGTCTCATGCATGAAGTGAGCCTTTTAAATAGTGTTTGTTCAAACAGACCCTGTCATCACCTGCCATATAATTCTCACATTCAGTTACTTTAACTTTTTTAAAAGTATGCTGGTAAACACACTGCTAATCAGTAGCCTGGTACAACCACTACCTAATGGACAAAAGAGCAAAAAATAAATGACAGGAAACAATTTGATACTGCCCAGGAAGGCCCGAGGATCTCATGAGCTTTTGCATACTGACATCTAGGAGTCATGGTTTTAACAGAGGATGACTGAACGTGACTGAATAAATGTAGCTCTTGCATTCTACTGTCTTCTATCAGGAAAATCCGGCAAATGCTATCCTTTATGATTGAAATAATGTTACATTAGGTAACGCTTCTTGGTTTTATAGGTGCTTGCAGAATCGATGTGTTTGAGGATATTCTTCACATGCTCCTAATTTAGCTACAAGCAGTGTCTGTGAGAAAACTCATTTTGCAAAGGATTAAAATCATGAAAGCGGATCCCACAAACCCTGAGCTGAATTGCAGGATGCGGACCTGAAAGAGAAGAGCACAAAAGGCAGAGCCACCAGCAACTTCTGAAATCTCTATTTCTAACGAACATCTGTAAAATCTCACGTGCACTATGTAGTGGCACTGGAAAACAAGTATTATTGCCTTTTCACTATGCATCTGTATTGCAGCTGCGAAGAGCGGACGGACAGTATAACCAAACCTCTTACCAACGTAGCCAGGAGTCCCGCAGGCTGTGGACATCACATCTCCTTTACCCTCCATCTTTGACAATCCAAAGTCACTGATCATGATTTTTGACTCTTCATCCTGGCTGTAGTAAAGCAGGTTCTCAGGCTAGAAAGGAGAACAAGCAAAGTGGGTTTTGAATATGTAAGTCCAGTAACAACATCTGTTGGCTGATGCTTTGCATTTAATAAAATCATTAGTTACATCATATGCTAATATAATTTGGTTCCCCTAAATCCTAAAGAGTTGCTCCTACAACCTATATGGAGAACCTCTCCAGACTCCTGTATGGTGACTGATGGAAGAAGCTGACACCTTGAGCTTTGAGTAACTTTCCTGGGATAACAAACTTCTCCTTTGGCACCCCAAATAAGAACTAAGGCTCATCCTTTACTTGTGAGGTATGTCCAACATACCATCACTTCAGAGTGATAAAACAGAAGGATTCATCTGAAAGCAGGTAAATATGGTAAATCCAGGTAATGTAATGAAAAATTTTTATACGGCATTTAAAAAAATAAAAAGGAAAACAGTAGGCATTAGAGAATTTTTGTATCTTCTCCACTGGAAATAAACTGCTGTGAGAGAGGAATGCCTTTACAGTTAACAGAGTTGCAGCAGGGATGTTTTAGCTAGAGCTGATTAGGAAAAAATGCCACAGAACAAAGCTCAGCAACTTGTTTATGCTGAGAGAAAACAAGAGTCAGTTCACAAAGCCCTGTGACTTTATACTGACATCAGGCAGGTTGGAGAGCCCAACCAAACTCCATCTGCTACAGCACAGTCCTCCATCCATGTTTTGAATGTGCTACTGCTACACAGTAAAGCTCTCACTAGGTGCTGTGAGAGCACACTTCTTCCCCTACTTAATATCTGGGCTCGCAAAAAGGTCCAGCATCTGCTGGCACTCTGACAGGCTGGTGGGTAACGGGGTGCCATTGCACCACCCGGACCTTGGGGTCTTCATGTATAAAAGTGACGGATACCCAATGTTGCAACATAACCCTGGTGCAGACTTTTGCCCAGAAGCTGGTACAAACACCTACCCACATGCAACACGCTTTGTCTACCAGCCCACTGTGTGCTCCAGGAAATGGTGAGAAGCAGCTGGGGCCAGGGCCACACAACATCATCAAACTCCTCGGGACACATCCAAGCTTGGATTTGTAAGGAGGAGCAATTGCACTGCAGCAGCACCAGCATCTGTCTTCCCTCCTCCATCGCCATAACCTCCTCCTCTAGGGAAAGCGGGGACGAAGAAGTGCCAGGGGGTGACATCCCCTCCACCCTACTCTGAGGTTCCCGTTCAGCTTCAAGTGGAGGTTAAAGCACTTTCTGGCTCCCCAGCCCCAGCATGAAGCCACGTAGTGATGGCTTTATCGATGGCACATGATGGCCATGAAAGGATCTACAAGCTGATTCCACAACTGTGAGCCAGCTGGGACTGAGGCAAAAAGGGAAATTATTTTGTTCATAAAAATGATTATGAAGGTGTACCATTTATGTTTCTTTCTCATGATACCTCATAAGTCCAGTGTTTTATCTGCCCGTTATAATGCTGATGCTGTTTTTAGGCACCACGTGAGTCAGTTTTATGCCATGGTCTGCCCTTGGTTGGAACTACTCCTGATTTTTTTTTTATTAGTGCACTTCTGATCTGCTGAGGGGTTGGTAGAGCTGGTATTAAGGGAAAGACAATTATTTCCCAATGATTTCTGCCTACTCACCTCAGGCCATCACTTACTCATATTTAGTAAGGCCAAGAAACCCACCCATTTAAAACCTAAACTTGTTTAAAACCTATTTAAAAGAACTCTGGTTCTTCAAGCTGGTTAACTCAAAAAGCGTTAACGAGGTGGCTCTGTACAAAGCAGAGCTGCTCGAGCCTTTCAGTCCTTTTGTACATCCTGGACTTCCCTGGACTTCATCTGCTGCCATCTCTTGTTATCTGCTGCTGCGTTATTTAGATTAGAGACTTGGAGCGCAGATCTGCTTTTCCCAACTACAGCAAGTACTATTTTGGTATCTGAATAACACACAATTACAATAAATAATTGTTATAGATGTTTCAAGGGTTGTATTTTTGTAGAGTGGATTCTTTCCCAGAGTTTCATTTTGGGGGATCACAATTCGAAACTTGCACTTATCTTGGTATTTTGAGATCATAAAAAGCCTTATTATATCCCTATTTTTGCCATCCTGGTATATTTGTGTTAACAGAAATTCACAGCAGGTGTTCCTCATATACCATATTTTATGAATCATTTTAACAATTGATATGGTACTGACAAAGACTTGCAAACAAAAAGAAAGAAAGAAAGAAAGAAAGAGAAAAAGAGCTAGCCTTTGCCCCAAAATACTGCTGGAGAAGGTTGGTTTGATCTAAATTCAGCATGTCCTTACATAAACTCTGAAAGTAATTTGTAGATGAATCCACTTCCCAATTACCAGATCTCATATTTTATTATAGGAACTTTTTAATAAGATTAATCTGTTTTAAAGTGAGAGCTACAGCCTTCCTTTAAATTATAAAGGCAGGAATATTAAGAGCTTGCACAATTGAATATCTGAATTAAGAGGACTCAGACCTCCCTCCAAAACCTCTGGTTGCAGAAAGAAGCCTGAAGTTATTTCCTGCAAATTGAACTTGAGAGAAAGCTGATCATGTTAAAATACTAAACAACGCTTCCATACTGAAATGCGGTGGAACTCTAATAAATACAAGAATATTTCTATGTACTTCAGCACAAGAGCAAGAAATGAATGGGAACTGAGGGCAACATGTGAAGACTGTAGGAGATGGAAGACTAACCAGTGCCTCCTTACAGAAAACCCGTTATTTGGGACTGTCAGGACTAAACTGCACAACACTGAGGAAATATTATTTGCAGACATCAGTGTATCTTTTCCTTCAGTGGATTCAAGGTTTTGCCTTAAAAATGTGCCAAACCAATACTTTAAAAAATATATTTCTACTATCTATTAATCTACTCTATCTTTTGAAGTGAAGATCACAGGATGCCCACTTCTGGTAGAGGTGTCCAGGACTGAGGAAAGTCCCTTGCAGCAGTAAGGTGTGGAAAAGCTCGCAATCCCAGGGGAAGAATCCCTACACAGCAAAAAGATTCACATCTGGAGTCAAAGAAAGAGTGGCAGAAGGAAAAGACTGTGTTAAGGTTTTCACAAAACGAGGCCATGTCTGCCTGTCTTGGGCACAGCTCCACCTTGGTGCTGGTGGTTACACTGGTAACAGGCTCTGTTTTGGCCCTGCTGCATCATATCTTGGAATAATTATTTTACTCCATGCAGCATTTCACATCAGCACTTTATCTGGAGGAGATAAAAAGCAAATAAATAGTATCTCTCATTACTACAATTTTTCATCCATCTTAAGGCAAAACAGTGAGGTCACATTACCGGCACTATGATCTTCACTAAGAGGACTTGCCAAAAATTACAAACCTGCAGTTTAATGTTAGACTGTATTAAAAATACAATTAATTTTAAAAATATATTTACTAGAAAAATTTATTTAAGAAGTAAAAAAAAAAAAAAAAAAACCCCGTCTCTGTGGCTCTTGACTGTATTAATGTTCATTAAGTCTTTACATAATATGACCTGTTTAGCCACATTCCACTGTCTCTTTACATGGGGACAATTCAAGGCCACAGCATCAACATCCAAGGTAACTCCTGTTTGGAGCATCCCTCCAAAACACAACCAGAGGTGTTATCTCATTCACTAAATTCTTAATTTCTGGCAGTAAACACTGATAGAATTAACTAGCTCAGGAACTGAAACCACAGTTTTCTTTTGACATTTGTATCTTTTTCTAATGCCTTCTGCTAATTTATTACTTAAGATACTAAAGATGGGGACATTTAGCTGTGTTATGAAATCCAAGCCTTTCTGCTTATTTTAATGACAGTTTAAGATATAGGAAGGAAACAATACAGAAATAATGTTTTGTTTTGGTTTTTTTTTTTTTTGCCAGAAAAGCTGAGAGGTTTTGATGTGATAACACAATATAGTTGAAAGGAAAATTATCTAAAAATCACATTGGCACACAATGTTCCTTAGAAGAATCCTTGCTGTTAACAGTGTCTCCAAAAACACTGGTCCAAATAGCACGATAGGAAATCATTCCACTCTCCCACACTATTTATTGTTACTAATTATTATTAAGTAAAAGTAAATATAGCACAGCAAATCTGCAAGATACTTTACAGCAGTAAACACTTACATCCCAGCTGAGATGAGTTTCTTGCCTTAATGTAATGTTTTGGGTCTTAGTGAATGACTTTTCCCTCACATGGTATGTGCAAAACTGCCATTGTAACAGCATTGATTGCAAAGTCCTCATTAAAACCAATTATGATGGGAGGATATGGAGCCTGCGGAGCATCCCTCTTATGGTAAAACCTTACTGAAACAGCCAGTCCCAGGGGAGGATGGATTTTCATGCGTTAGACTCACATAATTGTGCAACTTTCATTAACACTGCCCGGAGGACCGAGTCACACTGCGGTCGTACCTTGAGGTCCCTGTGCACGATGCCCATTTGGTGCAGGTAGTAGACGGCATCCAGGACCTGCCGGATCAGGGTGCTGGCATCCTTCTCGGTGTAGAAACCTTTCTCGACGATGCGGTCGAAAAGCTCTCCACCAGACACTCTGGAAAACATGACAGGATGCAGAAGTGTGAGGATATGCTTTAACGTGCTTTCTACCTCGCTCAAGGATGGCCAAGGCCATGCACTAGCCGCCGGTAGTCCAAGCACACATCCGTCTGGAGCCCTGGGGGCTCCTCCACTGTCCCAACAAGCATTTGGTTTTGGTTTCTTCATAGTCCAAGGACTGGTCTCTGCCTCAGAGACCAGAAGAGTAGCAAGGGGCAAAGAAAAGAAGTAACAGAACTAAACCAGAAATAGTCATGCTATAATAGACAATAAAATCCATCACACATCAGACAGTGGTCAAAGACTCACTAGCACTTGCAGAGGGAAACCACAACTCCGCCCCAGCAAGAGCCAGGGGGAGCAGATACCAGCTTCCATGCTGTCCCACCCTAGCAAACTTTGTATAGGTGAATTCGGTCTGCCCTTCCTGCCGGTGCTGGCCCACTGAGGTTGTAAGGCTCCCTACTCGTATGAGCCCTTGGGGTTCACTTTTCACTCCACCGACCAGGGTTTTGCCCTGGAGGAATGGTCCCATTCCCCTTTCCCCACTGCTGAGTGGAAGGCATACAGTAGTTACTGCCAATACCTATAGAGCGTTAGTTCATTAAAGGACTCTGGGTGTCTGGCAATTTTAAATGCTCTCAGGGGTGTCCCCCCTTTTACTCATACATGGATGTTCATTTATCAGCAGCCACAAACTCTTTAGGCAGAGCATGGCCTCTGCCCAGCACTGGTAGCAGACAGTTATTGATGAGGGTGCACAGATTACCAGCGCAATTAATCACCAGAAGACACAGATGGGGAAAGGATTCCACAACTCAAAGGGGAAAGAAAATAAAACCTTGACATCCCACTATTTAATGTCTGCTATATTATGCTTTTCCTCTGCTCTGCTAGAAATAACACGTTCTGAACCCAATCTTAAATAAAGAATGGACACATTAAAACTCCCTGGAGGAGTATCTGGGGAAACAAAAGAGGAAAGAAATGTCTGAGTAATTGAAATAATAAAACTGTCAGCAGAAAACTGCCATACTAGGGTAAATAAAAGATTTCCATTTTAACAAGCAAAACCTATTAAAAAATAAAATGTATGCGATATGTTTTTTCAGCAAGTTGCACCACTTAGCATATCATAAATGGCACAGTGAAACTTTCTTTAAAAACAAACCTAATAAAGGGAAAATAATAAATTGTTACAGTCATTAAATACATATGGCTGGGAGCTTGTCATTATAAGAACACTAGGTAATTCAGCCGCAGCCACTCCAAGCAATAATCTGCTTGAATAATGCCATGAAGTCACTTCCTAGGGAAGTTTGGAGCCTGAATGGAAGAGAAGGCTACCACTAAAAATGAACACATTCAACTTTGAAACTGAAAAGCAGTCTTGGAAGAAAAAAAATAAACCGGATAATCCCCCTATTAAGTGCTAGGCAAACAGACCAAATAGCTCGTTAAAATATTGGCATTAAACTGAAACTCTGCAGTAAAGATGAAGTTCACCCAGGGTCTGAAGTCCACCCAGGAGACCCCCTGGCTGTACCAGCAGCCCTGGGGCTTGCTGCTTGCTGCCAGCAGAGAGGGACCAGAGCAGCAGTGCCAGGCTGACAGCGGGGCGAGGAAAACACCCTGGTACCGTACCGAATTGGAGAGTCCGTGACTCACGGCACAGCGGGGAAGGAGGTATGGCAGGTAGAAGTTGCACCGGCAGAAGTGCAATCACACAACAACCTGCTGTGAGATGACACCCTGAACACCACACAGAAAAACTTGAATTAAACCCCTTTCTTTCCTCGTTTCTCACAATGGGACTTGTATTCCTCATATATATGTGTGTGTATATATACATATCTATACATACACAGGGTGTTGCTCCAAGCCCCTCTCAGCCCTACACCCTTTGCCCGACCCATCGCATGCCTTGCCAAGGGGAATGGACACACCTCTGCCTCGCCGTTCACTGAAGGCAGACACAGTTTTATTGAATCTGGCTCCTATTAGCTGACTGTCTTTTTATATTTCCCCTGCAGCCCTTTTGTTTCCCATGGATTGATTGCACTGAAAATTGAGCCCACGCAGTAATTAATATGACTGAATACAGCACATTTCCCCATGAAAATGCAGTGCGTGCTGTTTTGCAATTTCATAGTTACTTTTGTTATATTCAGGAGATGGACTGCTTTAGTAGATACTGGTTTACATCATGTGCTTTCCTGCACAAGGACTCTTTCCTTCGACGTTTGCAGAGAGTATACTTCCACAAAAATTTTTTCATTAAAATGACAAAATTTCCCTCTGTGCCAGCTCACTCCCCATCCCCCTTAAGCCTCATTCTTTAATCGAAAGCTTTTCTTAGTCAAATTTAGTCCAGTGGATCTACTGTACCCAGGCTCAATCTGTTTATAATTTTCTTTCAACACACGGAAAATATTTGCAACCTCTTAAATGATGCACTGCAAACCAGGGCTTAATCCAAGGACTCAGGAGGAGCAGCTGGTAAGTTTGCAGCCACTTGCTTATTCAGTGTCAACAGCATCCCAGGTACACGCAGACAGTCGAGGGACCCGTGCTCCTATTTATTCGTGTGGTGACTCCGTGTTATGGTACATGGGATTTGCGTTACATGTTTGCACTCACCTATAGAGTATCCCTGCTCCGGGCAAGTGTCATGGCTGGGGTTCACCTCCCAGGGATGCTCTGCAACTCAGCACCCCAGGCCATGGCTACTTTCCATATGGAGCTTATGTCCATATGGCTTTTCTCCTCCAAAACGGCTAACTCAACTGTAAAGTCATTGGGAATGCTGCTCCCTGTATGCTGCCCAAGGACTGACAGAAGTCAGTGCTGTACTAGGCCAGTTTGCCTAAAGCTGGTCTCGATCCCAACCCTCTCTACCCTGCTGACACGGGACTTGGCATCCTGCTCTGAACAGACCTGGGCACTCACAAAGCACTGCTGCAATTTGTTTGTTCCAGTCTTTATTATTCTGGGATACTTTTCTTCCTTTTTAATGGCAGTACCAGTTTTGCCCCCTCTATGGCAATTTTGAGCAGTGCACAGGAGGCAGAGTTGAAACTGCAGGCAGTAAGAGCAGAATTAGGTCTTTGTCTTAAAGAAATTTAAGACAAAATTTTCTGACCAGAAAGAGAGGGTAGGAGGAATTTCTCATTAGTGGAAGAGGACTGCTCCTGTCTTGCAGCTGGCACTGGCTCATGGAGCTGGACACACTGTCCCAAACATCAGCACAAGGAACCTTTTTCCCCTGCTGATTTCGATCTTAGTTCCCCGCAAAGAAAAAGTCAAAGGAGGAGTAGCCAAGTGGAGTTACTTGAAATGTATTTAAGCCTGGGGACAGCTCAAGTGTCACGCTGAGATCCAAAGTAGCATTCGCCCTGCCCGGGGACTCAGAGCTGGGCAAAAATCAGCAAAGCAGCTGCAGCTGCATCTTCTGCATGGATGCCTGCTGGGACTACCTCTCTTGGTGCCTGCTCGGCCACTGAACAGTGGCTCTCCCCTGGTTCACCACGGGGTGTGGGGAAAGCCCAGCGCTTGGAGAAGGAGCTAAGCTGGGTGTCCACATCACGCATGGACACCCCCAGCACATGCCCTGTCTATCTCCAGGAATAATGGGAATCACTTTCAAAACAATGCCCAGAAGATTCATTTAGTTTAAAATGAAAAAAAAAAAACAACCAACCATAAATATGAATACTTTTCATTTCTACGACATCTTTTACATGTGCCTTTAGCTCATGCCACTGACTATCAACATGAGGAAGGCCAGAATAAACATTATTTCCGTTTTCTCACTGCAGGAAAGAGAGAATCAGACTTGTCCCAATGAAACAACCAGGACATACAGCAATGTCCTGTTCCACAAGCCCTACCCCACTAAGAAAGATGCATTGCCATCAAACACCATTTTGAAGAGGGGCAGTAGGACACAGCTTGACCATACGAAAAAAGAGGCATTATCTGCAGTTCCAATGGGGAGACACAGATTGCACTCTGGTTCCAGGGTTTCCTGAGATAAAACCTTATGGATCTAGTGTTTCATTACGGAGACTTCACGTACTGATCATGCAGATGATGCAAATCTTTCAGAAGATCTAGCCTGGTGCTGGAGTTTGCAATAAACTCCTACAGTCCTCTGGGCTGGGGTCAACTACAGAAAGTTTTCCCAGCTCTAATGAAGATGAAGGAGGGAACAGAGACAGATGTTAAAAACAGAATCAGTGTCCATTGCTAGATTTTTAATCTTTTTTTTTTTCTGGCTGGATTTGGGGATTTTGCCTCTTGTTTCTTCCCAATTTGGTGCTTAAATGTAGATCCAAACCTCCAGTACAGGTTGCTACACCATCTCAGTTTAGGACAGGCTTCAAAAAACTGAAAATGCCAATGGTTTTGTGTACACGGATGAGCTACTTTGTTATTTGGGCTCTGTGTGTGCACACTGTTGTCTAAACACCCTGCACAGACACTGAAAGACCTTACAATCTTCATTAGAGGCAACGTCCTAATAGTTATTAAGGCTCTGTTCAATGGTTGGTGTCAGTCCATGTCACTACACAATTTCTACATTTTTGTAATTTCTAATTTACAGATGTAACTTGGGAGAGATGAGGAGACATTTCAGCATTAGTATTACACCTTTACTTTACATTAACCCATTTCACCATCAAGTTCATCAGGAAAGAGCCAAACTGATAAATAAAAAGCAAACAGCCCCTGTTGCAGGGAAGGAGAAAGGACATGATCAACCTTTTTCTGAAGCAACCGATTCCTTTGTAGTACCATCAGGGAAGCAGAACATGCAAAGTTTCAAAGAAACACTATGATTAAAAATGAGCACCAAAAAAACCCCTCCCTTGTAATTTAAGACTCCTAAACTCATAAACAAAGAGCCAACCTCTCTGGATTTCTGATGTTTTTGCCAGCAGTGTGAAACCTGCACCCGCGTGTCGCAGGTCAATCTACCAAGTACCTGCCGGA